CGTCTATTTCCTTCATCATAAAAATTTGAAGCCTGGTTCGATTCGAAACGTTACTTTATTACATTATAGTTTGTTCTCGGATTGCTCCTCTCTATTCTCGGCTTCCACTTCCCTCCTCCTCGGCTTTCTCCTCCTCCTCGACATGGCATCGTCCCCATGACCGTAAACGATGTTGTCGCCCTGCGTGTGGTATCCAGGAGAGAGATTATCCCCGCTGCTGAAATCAAAGTGGCCCCCCTTAAGGTACTCCATTTTGCCATCCTCCATTTTGAAGTCCGGAAGTAGTTCCCCACTGTTAGTCTCCTCCTCCTCCTCCTCCTGGTGCTGCTCCTCCTCCTCCTCCTCCAATTCTTCCTCTGTGTCTGCTTCGGCGTGCGCCGCCGGGGCGACGTCAGGATGTGAATCAGAGAAATCAGCCCACAGCCGTTGGGCTTGCGTGGTAAAGCTGGCGAGCGCGCGCGTAGAACAGAAAGGCGAGATGTGCTGTCAATTGAACTCATGTATGCAATCTTTGCGTCCGCGATCCCCATGCAATGCTTGAACCGCTGATAACCGCTGCACGGAGAAGCGATAGTGCAGAACCGTGCATGCAAACATGGTTAGTTCTCTCTTCTTTTTGATCTAGGGCGCGTTTTTAAAACGGTGCACAACGCTATTCTCTTGCAGTCCAGGCTGGTGCTTAGGCCCAACTTGAACCCCAGAACTTAATCCCCACGGAGCCCGCCCTGAGACCTGCTGATGATTTTTTTGTTCCACGCCCCAGATTTGTTCATCTTCTTGGAAGAAGTTTCCGCGCTTGGCTATGAACTTTGCCATCGTTTCTCCTTTTACGGATGGAGTGTTGAGAGAGAGTGCAAGTACCCCACTTCATGCAGCCTCTCGACACGCAGATCGTAAGCGTACCTTAATCTCGGGCAAATATCATTGAAGTTTGTCCCTTCAAGCGTCAAGATTAAAAACCTTCGGAACGAAATCTCAGAAGTGCGACCCGAGAAAAAAGATATTTATGATGAAAACAAGAAATTAAGAATCTCAAGAATCCCAAATGAGATCCAGGGATAAGGAGAACCCATCCGAAGAGTGGATGGATATTCAATCGAACAACATCAGACAAAGGAGCCGGATCTCCGTACCCCAGCAATGAAAACACCCGCCACCGCCCCGAATTAAGCCAAGACATGGAGACCCACGGGAAAGAACGACAAGGAAAAAATATCCATACCACTTTTATTTCCAAGAATGATATCAAAAAAACACACGGATTCTGAAGAACGACGTGCGTGGCCGCGAACATAAGGCGCCATGTCGGGGTTGTGGTCGGGTCGATTGCGTGGACATGCGCGGACATGTGTGTAGCATTCATGCTTGAAACCGGTCCCCGGACGTGCGATAGCTATGCGGACATGCGCGGACATCGCAGTGTCGGCTTGGTTCTCGGCCGCGGACATCGGTGAACATATCGCGGATATGACGCGCATCCCAAAAACACATGCCTTTGTGGACAAACCACAAAGAATTTTTATAGAACGCAGACAGAGATGCACCTATTCTTGCAACATATGCCAGCGAAGCAAAAGGAAAACCGCAGATGTGTCCGCAACAAAAAGCTTTACACGCATTTACTCTCTCTCTCTCTCTCTCTCTCTCTCTCTCTCTGCCTCTTGACAGCACGAACTGCAGCCTGACAGGCATGGCCATACTTTGTACCTAGGACAATTCCTGCGCTCGCATATCAATCTCAGAGCTGCGGCAGAAGAGCACACAGGAAAACAGCTACACCACGGCAGCAGTGTGCCGTCACTGGAGAAGCGAAAACTGCCACAGGAAAAACGTCCTATACACATATCGTCTCCAAGTGTGCTGATCAGGTGAAGAAGCACACTCTCCGGTAGGATTTTTAAAGACCCTAAAGAAAAGCTTAAAAGGGTTACCACAAGCTACCGTCCCAGGAGTGCATCAAGCGCTGGAACTGTCCTGTTAATGCTCGACTCTGCCCATACGCAGATGACTTTGTCACTGCTCATCACTCTGCTCAATAGGCCATCATCTCAAGTTCTGATGCTTTGGCATGGGTTGCATCACGGATCACTTTGCACATTTTGCCCAGCTCATCGCCGAAGATGCCACCCTCTGGGCCATGGGCTTCCAAATAAGCCATGGCTGCATCAGCGAACTCTTGCGGTTCTGCAGCAGTATCTAGGTATCCTGCCTGCTTCGGATCATCCACCACCCCTTTCTTGAGCATGTCGGTCTTGACAGGGCCGGGGTAGATGCTACCAACACGGACCTTCCCAGCCAACTCTGCTGAAAGCCCAGCGGTGAGCACATCTTTTGCAGCATTGGTGGCATTGTAGATTGCCATGGAGCCGCCAAAGTTAGTGAAGGCACCCACAGAGGAGACAACAATGAGACTGGAATCGGTGTTGGCGCTCAGGATGGGTGCGAACGCAAGCGAGACGGACAAGGCTCCCCATATGTTCACATCGAAAACCTTTCTGCGCTCAGCCTCATCCATGGGTCCACCAAGGAGTGTGTCTCCGCCATGACCCATATAGCCAGCGCTGTTGATGAGGACTTGCAAATCCTTGCAGCTTTCCGCAAGTGCGTGGACGCTTGCGGAGTTTGTCACTTCCAACTCCTTTCCCACCACCTTGTCACCACACTCCTTCACCAGGAAATCAACTGCTTCCACCTTGCGGCCCGTGGCATAGACTTTCGCCGCTCCCTTCTTCACAGCTGCGCGCACAAATGCAGCGCCCAAACCGTCAGGCTTACTGGCGCCTGTGACAAGGACGACCTTGCCATCCAGGGAGTATGGCTTGGAGGTTTGCTCTGTCATGGCTACTTCTCAGTGGCCTTGCCTATCGCTCTGGCTGCTGACAGAAACTCACTTTCTTCGTGGCCTGTTGAACCAGCATAACATGCGTTTCAAATGCATCAATCACTGTAGTGGCATCACCCACAAACTGGCCGATCTGCAGACACCAAGCTGTCCGTTCAGTGCTTGAAGACTGCCCTAAACACTAAACCCTAAACCCTAAGCCCTAACCCTAAACCCTAAACCCTAAACCCTAAACCCTAAACCCTTAACTGTGTGAAGTCCTCGGGTGCTGCAGGGTGACCTAGTAACCCCTCACGCAGTTACATGGGTTGTGTACCAAGTCCTGCCTCTCTGTGTGTCAATGTCTCAAAAAAGGATATCTACTATCTGCCTCAGAACCACCTAAAAAATAAGCATATTCTTCCTTATAAGGGCAATGCAGGAATTAATAGCCTTGTCTTTTTTGTGGGGTCCTCAAGCAAATGGCAGACAACGGTTATCTAGTTGTTGCTTTTTGTTCGCTCTGTCAGTGCAGATCTGCTGTTATGACCCCTCCCTTCTCCACAGAAACGTCACGCACCGCCCTATCCCTCTCAACCTCAGAAGTATGATGTTGCTGTACTTGCCACTGTCACCCATCATGGTATCAAGAAAAGAGCAAACCCTAAACCCTAAACCCTAAACCCTAAACCCTAAACCCTAAACCCAAAACCCTAAACCCAAACCAAAGCTCGGCGCTTTGGGGTGCCTTGAAACGCTTTCGGAACGATGTCGGGTAACCTCCTGGACCCCTCGAACCCCAACTCTTAAAACGGGAACCCTCTGCCACGCATTCTTAGGGTGTAGGGTTTAGGGTTCAGGGTTTAGGCTTTAGGTTAGGTAAAAGAGAGATGGAAATGAAATGAGATGAGCCATACGAGGCCAACTTGCACAGGCATTTCTATTGTAGTGGCTACCAAAAGTTCCGTACGCCCATTTTGAAATCTCATCTGCTTGCTCTTCATGTTTGCCTACGGTCTGTGCCGAATACGAGCCTATCGAATCGATTGCACCCTCTGTGACAGCAATTCGCGCCCGGCCTGTACACTAAGCTTTTGAAACGCTCCTCCAGGGGCTCCCCTTGTGTAGGGTTTAAAGTTTAGGGCTTAGGGATTAGGGTTTGGGGTTTAGGGTTTTGGGTTTAGGGTTTAGGGTGAGAAGAAGAAGCCTGCCGTTGGAGGTACACATTAGCATTCTGGAACTTGCCGCTCAATCTGCTTTCTTGTCGCCAGGTTCATCCTCCTGGAGGCACGCTGAACGTACTTAGAGGCTCATGGGTAATCAGAAGGGTTTAGGGTTTAGGGTTTAGAGTGGGGTTATAAGTGCCCTAATGAAGGTTGTAAGCACAGTTGCCAGAATTTATCACCCTACTTGTAAGTTCCCATGAACCTCCAAGTATGAGCTGGGGGTTGCGATTCGAGGGAAACCTGCCGTCGGTGTGACAGGACGTCGCATATACATCTTTACAAGACTGTGACTGCAATCACCCTTTCGACTTACACACTGAGGTTAGAACGACCACTAGGATGGCCCTTAAAACTCTCTGAAAAGCATTCCTCAAGACCACCCTCTTAAACCGAATAGGGGAAGGTCCTAAATGTCCCCCGAGGGGCCTACCTAGCTCAGTGAGGTTAAAACGAACTGCGCTCCTAAGTTCTAACTTCTACACGCCAAAGGGTAAAACCCCTCAAGCCCCGGTGTGACTGTAGGTGTGAGGTTTGAACTAGGATACTCGGAAAGGGATGCCCTAAACCCTAAACCCTAAACCCTAAACCCGAAACCTTTCAGAGCTGCCCATCGTCGTCCTCTGCCACAGCGTCTGCATTCTTGACCTAAGCTCGATGGCTGAGACTTACACTCGCACCAGGTCAGATGCTTAAGGCTTTGGGGCTTTGGGGCTTCGGGTTTAGGGTTTAGAGTTTAGGGTTCCTAAAGGGGAACAGTCCCCTAAACCGCAACCCCCTTTAAAGCCCTAAACCCTGAAGACTCGCTAGAAACCCATGCAGGCACAAGAGATTCGTAACTCCCCCGGGTAGGATCGCCACACCACACGGCTGCCTCTGGGTCTGGGTACGGCTACCTACATGAAAACAGTTTCTGGCACGAGGCCCTAGAACCAGAGAGACAGAAAGAGAGTGCGGGCGAGCGTGAAGGTGGACAGGGTTTCAGGGAGCCCAGGGTGGGTTTAGGGTTTAGGGCTTTGGGTTTAAGGTTGTGGGTTTAAGGTTTAGGGTTTAGGGTTAAAAGTAAGCATATACACCCGAGTGATGACGACCCACGAACCTCCACGCAGGGTTTAGGGCTTGGGCTCCTGGATACTCTTTCAGCTGCAATATAAAACTAAGGCTACTTCATCAAGAACCCTAAACCCTAAAACCCTAAAACCCTAAAACCTAAAACCCTAAACCCTACACCATAAGGTTACTTGAAGAAGAACCCAAACCTAAGGTTCGTTCGCAGATCAAGCCCGTGTCAAGACTGCTGAGTCTGGATTCGCCACTTGACGTCCACAAAGGCCACCGCCCCTTCATGAGGGAACTTACCTTCAACTCCATGGGTTGTTCAGAGCTAAGGTATCTGATCCCAAGCCCCAGAACTCCGTCCGCCCTACATGCGGCACTAAACCCTAAACCCTAAACCCTCAAGTTTAGGGTTTGCCAGCAACATCAACCCGACATAAACCCAAAAAGGCCTCAGAGAACCCAATACTCCTTAACTACAGAACTGGTTTAGGGTTTAGGGCTTATGGTTCCGAAACGAGAGCCCGTCGCGCATTCATGCAGTCTACACTGGCTACTTTCAGGAAAGGTGCACTAATCTTCAAAACCCTAAAAGCCCTAAAACACGGAAGAACAATAGAAGACACCGACTCCATCTTTTCAGGGTGCACCAATCTTCTAAACCCTAAACCCTAAACCCTAAACCCTAAACCCTAAACCCTAAACCCTAAACCCTAAACCCTAAACCCTAAACCCTAAACCCTAAACCCTAAACGCCCCAAAGCACGCCTTAGTCGGTGCCACCCGAGGACGCCACCCACTTCGAGCCCACGGGCTCCTCCTTCCGATCATCCTGCTGTGGCTGGGGCCCCGCAGCCAAAGGGTTTAGGGTTTAGGGTTTATAGGGTTTAGGGTTTAGGGTTTAGGGTTTAGGGTTTAGGGTTTAGGGCATGGGCTTTAGGGTTTGGGGTTTAGGGCATGGGGTTTGGGGCATACTCTACCTCAAGACAGAAACAGGACCCCACTACTTGGAGGTTCATGGGATTAAGTATAACCTACTCTTCACTACCCAATGAACCTCCGAGTCATGTGAGGTGCACGAGTATTATCCCTACATCATGCGAGGATGCCCCAATGCGGTGCAGCCTCCTGGTGGCAGGTCTAAGAAGTGTTTAGGGTCTAGGGTCTTAGGCCTCCGGAAGCCCCATGTTGCTAAGGTTTTTTGACCAGTTCTCCGGTGGATGGAAGAGGCTTCAGCAGTCTTCCTGTACTCCCCTTAGAACCTTCATAAAATAATATGTTTAATCTCCTCTTGAGTTTTATATAAACAAAAATAAGAAATAATACCCAAGGGGGATATAGTCTTCATGGTCCTCAATCACATACTGCAGCCAGTTGTTGAAGAGGAAGACGCCTACCTGGGAGGTTGTGCTGCCAAGTGCAGCGCGCCGCGGTAGGCAGGCTCCGGGAAACGGGGTTGATCCAAACTGTTACTGTGAGGCTTTCTGTTGTAGTAGATTCCCTTCTGCTTTAGTGTACGGTTTAGGGTTTAGGGTTTAGGTCTGACAATTTGCATCAACCCCCCAAAAAGGCTTTGAGAGAGAAGGGCCATTCTAGCCACTCATGTAAATGTCAAGACAAGGCACTCTCTTGAGGCCCCGCCAGGCCTTTATTTCACTGACTGGAAGATTGAATCCAAACCCTAGACCACTAAACTGCAAACCGTCAACCCTCAAAGCCCTAAAACGCTGACCCCTACGAGCCTAAAATTTTCCAAAACCTTCAAACCCTTCAAACCCTAAACCCTTCAATCCCTAGCAGAAAAAAACCCAAAACCCAAAACTCTTCAAACCCTAAACACCTTCAACCCTTCAAACCCTTCAACCCTTCAACCCTTCAACCCTTCAACCCTTCAACCCTTCAACTCTTCAAACCCTTCAACCCTTCAAACCCTTCAACCCTTCAACCCTTCAAACCCTTCAACCCCTAAACACCTTCAACCCTTCAACCCTTCAAGCCCTTCAAACGCTGAGAGGGCGGGGCAAGAACCACAACGCAGGCGATCCCCGCCGCGATCCAGATGGCCTCGGCGTTGCACGTTGACGCGCGCTTCGGGAGCCAGGAACTCCAACGGCCCGTTTAGGGTTTAGGGTTTGGGGTTTAGGGTTTAGGGTTTAGGCATTGGGGTTTGGGGTTTGGGCTTTGGGTTTAGGTTGTATCCCGAAACCCTGAACCTTTCTTGCTGAAATCAGACTCGGGTCACCTTTTTGCATCTCGGTGGTATTCTTAGGGACCGCTGGAAGCAGGGAGTTCCGAGTCGAGGTGGGAAACTTGCTTTTTAAGCCCTAGACCGGGTAGCGGAGTCTCTCGGGTTTAGGGGCTCTCTCAACTATGGTCCCGCGACAGCGGTCGAGGACTTTAGGGTTCAGGGTTTGGGCTTGTCAGGTCTTGTTGGGGCTTCTTACCGGATCCTAAACCCTAAACCCTAAACCCTCAACCCTCAACCCTAAACTCCCTAAACCCCAAGGAGAAAAAGAAACTCGACCTCTTGACCCACTAGGCGGCCATGCTCTCTCGAATGTGCACGTGCATCACTCCCTAGAGGACCCACTGGAGAAGGCTACTGTGTATCCTAAGTCCTAAGGGTTTCGGGCCTAAGGTTTAGGGTTTAAGGATGTTAAAGGTTTACCTTATAAATGGATCCTGAATGCTCAACTCATTCAATACCCAGATCTTCCAAAACCCCTTCATTAAGGAATG